ACATCCAGTGAGATACACTGGGCATTTTTTTGTAAACAGTAGAGGATTTTCATTTCTAAAATTGTGTCTTTGTTCAAAAATGGCTCTGATATCTGATTGCACAGTGTGTGCAGTGTGTGGTACATGTGGTAACACACTGCCTGGCTCCAGCCTGTACACTCATAGCATTCATTGCAGAGGACCACTTCAAACTCTGTGTGTCCATCAGCAGCTCGCCTCATTGATTGTTCTAACAGGAAGTGTGTGTCCACAGAGGGCTGGGCCAATGGGGGAACATGACAGGCTCACATCTTATGTCTCCTTTTCCCACTATTGTTTTATATAAGCTTCACACCGGAAACAAATATGTTCAGGCGTCAACGCCCTGGACCCCAGAAGATGAAAAAGCTGAACTTTTGGCGTCAGACGTGCCACATCAACCAAACAGGGACGTCATTATAAGAAGAAGAAGAAAGAGAAAGACCCAGGAGCCACAAACACCATAACAAGAAATCTACGCCATGTCATCAGCAAAGTATAAATACATATACACCATAGCAGCCGAGCCGATCGCCTCCACTGGTGGGTTTTATGTAATAAATACACTAAAGCCACTCTGTCCACCAGGAAAGCAAGGCAGTCGCAGACCGCTGCGGGCGCCCTGGACGCGTGTCAAGTATTTTTCTCACGTTCGTCCACGGTGTCCAAGACGCACATCGGGGGTGTCTGAACTCAAATGCAAAGGCGTCTAACTAGAGGTGTCCAGCGCATTTTTTTATGCCGCGGTCTGAACACAGCTTAATACACACAGAGAAGTCACTTAGATGCACAACAAAACAATGATTAATTTATCATTTATTTAAGAACATTTCAAAATCACTTTTTAAGCACAGCACACTGGAGTGAACTGACGAGCTGCAACTGAAAATAGGATAGAAATCCTTGATGCATTTTTAAGGCCAGACACTGCTGGAGAGTAGGAAAAATCTTAAATTTAAAGATATCAATTTGAAACTTCTTCTGTAGTTTACTTCCATAAATGTAAAGAAAAAATTTATTACAAGTTTTCATCATGTAATGTTTTTGGTTAAAATTTGCATTTTATGTGTGAAAACTGCCAAAATGTACCATTCTTCTTCAGTTAGTCACATTAGATATTAGATTTTAGATTTCTTATTTAGTATTTGTGTAAACTGGCTCTGACTGAACATTTGCATTTCACAGTTAAAACTTGAATAAATCAGACTTGGCAAAATCCTTCAGTACATTTTCTCAAAATCTTGTTAAATACAGGATTGTAAAGGTTGGTGGAGGTAGGTGCTACTTTAAAAGGTGATCATTGTGTCCCTATGGGGGGATGATGCATTTTGAGATAACGGCCTTTGAAGTTACAATGGCCCATATAACATTATTGCTGCAATTTTGTTGTTTCCACATGGAAACTTGTATGCTAACTGACAAAAACACAAACAACTTTAGCTTTGCCTTTGTGGTCTCTCCTTAAATGTATTACTAAGATTATATTTCAAAGATCCATTGATACCTGTATGTTACAGTCTCCTAAAAGTCCCCAGTATGCTGATAAAACTCCTCCCTCCGCCCAGCCATACATTTATGCACTTGTACATCCACACTTGGCAGCTGGAAAGTGCTCTATAGCCTTTTATGGCTGGCCGCTCCTCTGGGTAAGTGCTTTGCTCAAGGGCAAAGTTGTGACAGCAGCTGGCAGATGTTCTCTAGTATTTTTTCTACTGTACATACATTAACAGTGCTCTTGACCAACACAATTTAAAAGTAACACCAACTCAGGTAAAGCTTCTGAAATGCTTTTGTAATTGTGTCTAGCCAGAAATTCCAGGTTAAGTGAAGAGTATATTTTTACAATGTTATGCAACCTAGAATTATAAACAATATTTGCAGAGTCTAACAGCGCTCAGGGCACAGTTAGCATTTCAGATCAATTGGACACGGTGCACCACTTGTTATTCTGTTTGTTTCCCCGCACCATGCTGTTCTGGGTCAGAGAAGGGCTAACTATTGATTAGCAATTAGGACAAAGAAGGGAAGAAACAGCCATTAACATTCATTTGTCTAATCTTTTCCAGCTTCCCTGTTGTATAAAAACAAACTTTACTGAAGGTTACACGAGCTACTTGATATGCGGCTGTGAGAAGCGACTGGGGCTGCTCAGGTGTTTGGTGTAAGATGATATTTGTGCATTTATTCGGCGTTGATCTTGGCTCTCTCAATGTGACACACAGGCTGCAGTGTCAGGCAGAGCGTGGGCTGGCCAACCACTGTCAGCTACAGTAGCACTCACAGCGAAGAGGAGAATACACATGCTCTGACTCGTGTAGGAGGCACTCAGAGAAAGGTGCTAAATAGACGCTAAAAAGCATCTAAATGAACTGGCCCTGTTTGATTGTTAGGGTTTCTAATGAGATGTTCCACGACAAGACTTTTGCAAATAGAAAAACAGAAATCACAAGTAAGGTGTCTCAAATTTTTGAGGAAGCAAATTTTTTTGATGATTTTTTAATTAAAAAATATAATAAGAAAAGCAAACTGCCTGACTGTGTATACTTGCTAAAAGCTAGCACATGATGAGGCCTTTGTAATTAGAACGTAAGAATGTAATTACTAATAGATCAGGTAAAATTACATTTAAAAAAATTACACAAAATTTTAAACATTTAAATTGCAATTAAATAAAAATTTTATTTAAATTGAATTTTAATTAAAAAAAAAATTAAATTAAATTAAAAAGTAAAGTTACACAAAAGTTATAAGCTTATTAATACAAAGAAGACACCGAATAAACATGGAGCTAAGATTTGAAGTGAAGCTGTGAGGTTTATAAATGATGCACTATTGTCCTGTAAACAAACTTTAAAGGTCCTATATTGTGCAAAATTGACTCTTGTGAGCTTTAAGCCATGTTAGAATGTTGTTACTTCCTCAAAGACATACCTCGAGCTGTGTTATGTTTGAGTAATTATTTATTATTAGTCTGCCTACATTTCCAAAGCTCAGAATGCTCTGTGCCACCTTGTGATGTCATGAAGCGGTAGTTTTCAAGTTATCAGCTACCTTTTACCTTTGTTCAGTAAAGAAGGACAAGTCCAGGGCTGAAACTGTCCAAATGATTCTTGTGACAGTGTAAGGAGTTTCCTGTATTGCTACATGACATCATACGGTGGAACAGAGTGTTTTCTGTTTAAGATCTTGGCCTAAATATGCAGGATTTTTTTTGTTAAACATGTGTGAATGAAACAATAAACAACTCCAGATATATTTGATGAGGAAACTACGTTACAACATGGATCAGAAAATAGTGTAATATGGGTTCTTGAAGGCTTGTGGATGGACATTTCTTCGCACAACAGCAGCACTAGATCTGTTGTTGCTGAGTGGATATTTGGTGTGGTTTCCATTTAAAAGCTTATATTGAGTGTCTCTTATTTCCAGAGAGGTGGTCAGCAGAGACCCTCCTCAGACTGTGAGTCTCCAGACAGTGCTGGGCTGCAGAGCCAAGCCCTGTGCATGACATCTGCTCCGCCGCTGATGAAATTATGGAAAATGGCAGTGAATCTCAGGAGGACTCCGGGTGCCTGGAGCCATGCATCTAAGTGCTGCTGGACAAACCCCCACTCCCCCTGCAGCTCCTGACATCCACTATCCTGACAGCCACCGATCAAAATAACACTTATTTATTTATGCACACTTCCTGGAATCACATCTGGCCATAAGAAGAGCACTTTCCTGGAAAAAAATCAGACAGACATCAGCCCTGCCTTTGTGACATTGAGTTTCTGGGCAAAGATCGTCTGAGCGTTGGATGCTGTAACTCAATAGCATTTGTTTCATATAATAGTTTCAAAAGAATGGGCTGAGGAAGACAAGGCATTGACTGCACCATATTAAATGGCCCTATTAGTCACCCAAACATTTGTTCAGATCTAGACACTGGAGTATATTTAGACAAATACAAATATCCAATCCTAGCACTGTACCGAACGCTTGTATTAAGTTATTCAGAGCGGGGACATATTTAATCAGACATGCATTTGAACAGCATTAAGCCTAAGAGTTGTTGTTGGCTTACTGCATTCAGAGTTATGGTGCCTATGTTTCAAGGCTTACTGCCATTAACAGTATATTAATGTTGATGTTGATCACAGTGAATAGTGTTTGGGTTAGCAATAGTAGTAGTGCACTGTGCATGTCCCCTACTCTGCTCTTTCCTATTGATTTATTGCTTAATGCATTTACAACCACAGAAAACCTGCCATCTACATAAAGAGTTGCAAGTCAAGAGAAGATAAAATACGACATACAGAAAAGTCAGTGTATTCTATCTACCAGTGTTTTTACTTTTACTGTAGCACTGCTCTTGCACTTTTGTAAATGTACTTATCAAATACCAGGTACTATTTGGACAGGTATACAGTACGTTTTACCTGTAGCACTGCACACAGTTGTAGATTTAACCACTGCTTCTTCCCACACAGCATAAAGTACGGAGCTGGAGGGATTATTATTTCTCATTTAAGGGTAACTAGGAGCCAGGATGGCCAGTGAAATGGAGAGGCAGAGCAGTCGCTTCGGTAATGAGTATACACTGGCTCCCACAGCAGAAGCTCGGTGCGGCGTGGTGGTCAAAGCAGTCACCAAGGGGCTAAGACAAGATCACACACTGCACAAGATCACCAAACAACCCTAACAATGCACTGTTTGGCTCTGAACTGCTGTTACAACTGTCAATCAACTGTGCAAGAAACCATGTTTGTCTAATCCAGCAACAGGGCCCTCCACTCCAAAGCATATTAATGAGATTTGTAACTCTGTCTCCTCTTGGGGATGGACAGCTACAGAACTACAAACAAGTGAGTCTTTTCAAATTAATTCATACAGTTTCTCCCATTTGATTTCCGTGGCATTTTACTTTAAAATGTTCAAAATTAAAACAAAAGAAAAGACAATTTAGTATGCTCGAAACGTTGAATGAAGAAAAGACTTACCGTCAAAGCGTTTGTGTCTGGAAACAAAGGTGCTCCTTAAATTGTGACTGATTTCATCCACTAAAGTCTCAAAGTCCTGTTTGCTCTGTTGGCCAAATTTGTCCTCCATTTCCACAGTGCAACATGTGTTCCCCTGCGGACACACCCGCAGATTTTCCCCTGCAAAACAAACAAAAAATACATACATGACTTTATTCACTGGTACAGTATTGTAGAACACAGTTTGTACACCAAGTAATACAAAGCGCTTTGCAGAACAAGAGGGTCAAAATCACAATACAAACAATTACAAACAAATAAAAACATAAATAATTGTAACAAAAATATTATTTTTGGCAGAAGACTGCAATCAAACATTTTGAGAGTATAGAGCAGAGTTACAGCTTGGTGCTAGGCCACAGAGGGAATATACCAGTCATTGACAAGAAAATTAATATAGTAAAAACAATAATGTGTAATGTGTGGGTATTTTATATTTATATTTATATTTATTTTTTTACAGCGATAATGAGCAGTCATATAAGGTGAAGTAGGCATTTCTCATCACTATAAATAATTATCTGAAATAAAAATGAACGGTAATAATTATGATTTTTGAGTTATTAACTGATGCCTGCTGAGCAGAGGAAGTCATTTGACTGGTGTTTCTCATTTAGCCTGACAATAAGAGATATTATTGACTAGGGCTTATGAAATTCAAATCAGGGGAGAGAATAGATAACACATTCATTTCAAATATTCTCTGTGCCCATTACATAATTGATGACATTGGGGAAATACCAAAGTGAATCAAAAGTTAATGGTCTACATCATTCCATTTTCCACAAGCAGTCACTTTAGAAGAGCATATGAAAGCACAGACTCAGTCCACAACAGCTTTTATTTCTTCATTTCACAGCCTAAACCCAATATGACCATGGGAGGTTGAGCACAACATTAAATGGAATGAGAATGCAATCCACAATGTACTGATCAGACAGTCACAGGGGCATCTGATGAAGGCAGCCCTGAGTGTCCAGAGAGTGATGGACATACAAGTCCAATGGAAATGACCTGACAGTGTGAGTGTGTGTGTGTGCGTGTGTATGTGTGGGTGTGTATGTGTGTGTGTTTGCTTGAACCAGCTGAGACCGACAGGAGCCCTGAGAGGAACCAGTGAGGAGTAACATGTGCAGGTGTCACTGACAACAGGAACACAGGCTCCTCTTTCTCCATTAGTGTTATTAAACATGTGTGTTATGGATGACTGAGTAACACTGAACAACTAGACAGCTGTTGTTTTATGTAGCTGCTTCTTATTGCTTTGTTTCTGTTCAGGTTGGGAGATATGGTCAAAAAATCTCAATTTTTTTGGCACATACTGAAGCAGGACTGCTCGTCTTTCAAACAGTGGAAGCTCTTCACGTTTTCATTCTTATCAGATACAATTATTTAAGAAATTGTAAACTGCCTTTAGTTAAATTTGTATAGATATCTCACTGTAATTGCACAATAACCCTGCTTTACAAAAAAGAAAGTCAGCAGTAAACTTGTTTCATAATAATCCTTGATTTCATGATTTTGCAATTTTTCTGGATTGGATTAATTGCCCAGCACTAGTTTCTGCCTCTAATTACATCTTTGTGCAACACAGATGTACTTTAACATGACTGTTCTTCAAAAGATGTTTTGATTTATTTTAACAATATGAAATTATTATGACTCAAACATCCTTCTACTGTGTTAATATTCATTTTGTTTGTTGGCTCCACTTACAGCTTTTAGAAACAAGAAATCACTCATATAAAAAGTGTACATTATTTATTACCTGAGGGTTATAGGCCATCTAAACCAGGGACTGCGTATGTCCTGGATGGGAGGAACATAACAATCAACAGCAACAAATACATGGCTAAAATCAATGCCGTAGACTCACAGAGGCCTTGACCTTTGACCCTCGATGTCATATTACAAAACAGTCCTTTTTAAGACTGAATTGATGTTTGCTACAAATGCAGCATTCACAGTTCTAGGCCTTGACCTTGAATGCCCAAAATGATTAGAGATTCTGCTTTTTAAGTTCTGACACAAATACTTGTCAGATGAATCAATTGGCAAAATAAAACATAATTGGAGCCCTGCTGGACACTGTCCCATTTTCTCTGCTCCTATTCTTATCAGGGGTCACTGTTATACAGGTGGGTGTCTCACACAAGGACAAAATGACAGTATGGGCTTCAGGCAACATTTGATTTGGTCCACAAGGCTGATTAATGACAGAAAATTAATAACTTATCCATGTCCACAAAGTTAAGCAGGTGACACCAACAGGTCAAGTTACAGGTCAGATCTATGGAGAGGCCCACTCACAGTAACAATGCATCCTTAAACAATAAAAAAATAAATAAAAAAAAATAAAAAAAAATAAATCTGATAGAATATTTGATATTTGGGCCATATTGTGGAACACTCCAGACAAAGCAATTATATTTCCATGGAGACAAGCAGGTGGCGGACCCTCCACGAAAAAAGTTACAGTTTTACAAGTCCTATATTACACAAACTTGACTCTTGTGAGTTTTAAGCCACGTTATAATGTTGTTACCTCATCAAAAACATACCTGGAGCTGTGTTTTGTTTCATTCACACACTCAAGTAATCGTTTATTAGTCTGTCCACATCTCCAAAGCCCAAAATGCTGTTCCACCTTGTGATGTAATGAAGCTGTAGTTTTGAAGTTAACAGCTACCTTTTACCTTTTTGTTTAGAAGAGACTGGCAATTCTAGGGCTGAAATTATCCAAATGATTCTAGTGAAGGTGTGTGAAGTTTAAAAACACACATAATACGGGCCCTTTAAATGAGAAAAAGAAAAAAAACTGTTTACTTCATTAATTCATTCATCTTTTCAATTATAAATATTTCTCCTGATGTGCATTGCCTATAGTGATTAGTCCTTTACAAAGACAGAAACAGCTGTAAACAGATGGAAGCTATAAAACCCACATGCAGCAGCAGACGAGAGGGAGCTGCTTTTAAATGAGAGTGCGCCGCGGTGGATTTGCAACACTTTGGTTTGTGCGTACGACAATTTTTGGCCACCGGGGTCTACAAATGGAGATGCAAGGTAGTATTTTGGCCTTGTAAACTTCAGCACCAGGAATTTATCACAAACATATCCACACTCCGCTAGCAGTATGGCTGTCTCCCTAAAAATACTACAGGCTAATTAACTTTCAGACTCTTTGGAATAGAAACATCTAATCTTATTCTTTCTTTATATAGCAAAACTGTTTCCATTGCTGCACAATACAGATATAAAATAATAGTAGTCCACTAGTCTGAATTAAGACAATAAAACTTCAAATAACAGCAAAAATACAAGGAGAATACAAGAATACAATAACAAAATGAAATAGATAGATAAATAGATAAAATCTCTAGGCCCATCACGATAATTACTATATCGATTTATCTGTTTGTAAAATCCCTCAGTGGTCCAGGTAGGATCCAAGGCAAAGGACAAATTCAATTCTGTCAACTGGACAAAAGTTTTTTAATCAAATACGTTTCGCAGCTCATCCAAGCTGCTTCTTCAGTTCAATACTTATCGTGAGCTTATTTTTCTTGGAATAGTGTGAAGGTTTCTGCTAGTTTTGTAATACATTAAGATCTGAGCTGTAGACAGACGAATAAGACACTTCTAGGACAAATTTTTTGTTAATTCTGCTATTTGTTGTAGCTTTTTGTAATGGTACTGTATTTTTGTTCTACTGGAATATTCCTGCTTTATTATTAATTGTATCAGTGGCGTAAAGTAGTTTCAATATTATCGTTTATCGTGATATTCTTCATGTATATGGTAGGGATGGGACCAGAGGCGGCGGTACCATTAGGCAAAAGTAGGCGGCTTCTTAGGGCCCCCAAACCCGGAGGAGCCCCCAACCAATTGCCCCTAAGTACCACTAATGGTCGAGTCCTCAGAGCAATTTCATTTGATTTCTCTCAATATAGCATTAAATGAGAGTAGTTTACTAATTATATTCATAAGTAATGGATGTAAACAAAAAAATATAATTGTACTAGCAAAAATGTGGTTATCTAGTAGGTGACCTAACTAATAAGACAAGTTTCCAATCCACCATAATTCAAATAAATAGAGATGTGCATGCATCAAGAATAATGGAGAAAAACAGACAATAAATATATTTAAGAAAAAAAAAAAAACAACTAATGGTGTACTATAGTAAGGGCCCCAAATTCAAGTTCGCCTAAGGCCCCCAAATTGCTAACTCCGCCACTGGATGGGATGAGCCACAATTTTCACGAGATGAGACACATGATCACAAGACTGGGTCCACAAGAATGAGACAAATCAAGATTTTGACATAGTTTACAATAAATAAATAGTTCAATCCATTTCACAATTCTGGTTTTACTATTTTTATTTATTTTATGTAAAACTTTAGCGGTCATTGTAGTATTGCTTTTTGGTACTACTGCTTCTCAAATTGCATAACTCACCAACTCTTAACTCTTTTTTTCTCCAAGCCAAATATAAATTCAGGGGAAAAAATCTCATGAGATCTTTTTGTCATGTGTGCACAGCAATTTCGTCTCGTGGGATCTTGAGGCATGAGATCTTGTCCCATCCCTAATATACGCCGTTTTGTCATTGTGACAGGTCGATATATCCTCCTGTTACTAACTGTTGACTAACTTCTTTTTCGACTGCTGCTCTGTAGTCTTCTCTAATACATGATTTAAGAACACCTCAAAGTCTTTATTAGATAATATAAGCCTGACTGGTGACCTAATGTTGACAGTTAGGTTGCAGCATTAGCATTTTAATTAGCAAGACATATTGCATGTAAGTGAATAGCGGAGAGCTTGTAACAAACTAAATTTCCAGTGTCTCTCACAGCTTATCCATAATTAGGCCTGTGATGATAATTACAAAATTGATTTTTCCAGTGGTGTAGTGGGGATTTTTTTAAGTGGGGGTACGCGATTCATGAAGTCATCCACCCCGACACACTCAACTTGACATGCTGAAATATACACAGGTGTCATATAGATTGTTCATTTATTTAAAAAAAACAAAAAACAAAACTCACTTTCAGTACAAACATAAAGGCTCCAGCCCAGTAAAAATCAGTAATATTAGAACCAGGAAAACTA